TTTATAATCAATTGCATATTGATAGAGGTTTGATCCTTAGCAGTCTGTAAAGACTCTCTGTGCCTTCCAGATCACTCTGGCATACACACTCACATCCTGGGGTCAGGAGAAGAGGTCGTACCTTCTTTTATTGTTTTATGGTAAAGCAAACACAAGTATATCTGTTTTAGTCCAAGTGCCTTTTGTTTAGATGAACTGCTGGACCTCCAGGCCAGCAGATTCTGGGAAGTCCTTTATGGGGTCACATCTTGACCCCCCCCACACACACACGGTACCCTTTGTTCACATGTACGCCTATTTAAGATATATGTTAATGAACCTATGCATATTCATGTAACCACAATAAAAGGAGTGCTACAGGGAACCTGGCTGAGAGTCTGACGGAGGTCAAGTGGGCGGAGCGACATCTGGCTCCAGTCAGGTCTCCCTCATGCATGAGTAACACAAAGATTTTGGCGACTTATGTCTTGCTTTTGCTGTGTAGTAAAATTGTCTCATTCCAGTGGTGGTCTGTGTTAGACGGACCCCTCACTTTGCTTTTTGCTAAAGCATATAGTAGGACTGGATGTGTGATTGTTGGGGATTTCTCTGTTGTCTTTGTATTATTGTAGAGTCTTTACTTTACAATATAAGGAGGAAACTATTGTGATTTGATACTATTTAAATAAAATTGAACTGAATTATATTGAATTTAATTAAATTGAGTTGGTCCTCTGAAGTAAAAACCATGTCTCTTTTCTCATACAGGCTAACCAGGACTTACCAGCTCCCCCAGACCCGTCCATGGCCCAGGCGTTCCCATCAGCCCCATTTGCTCCCACACCCCAGACCATTCCAGCTGACTTTACAGCTTCACATGCCGATCCACATCAACACCCACACCAGAACCCAGCAGCACCACAGGACTACACTGGGGTCCAGGGGTCCATCAGTGACTGTCCACTCCATATGTACCAGTCCTCCCAGAACCACAATGAGCACAGTGGATCAGACTCTGTCAGTCAGACAGTAACTGGCACAGCCACAGTAAGTCTTCAGAGAGGGTGTTTGTTCATGTGACCAAGTGGTCGGCGGGGTTATAAAAGATATATATACTGTATATACTATACTGCACGGTGGACGCAACTCAAACGCGTCTCTCCACCACGGCTGGAGTAAAGAAAAGAGAAACAGCCGCGCTGTAGCGGGCCGCAGAAGTATTACTACTAGTTACCTACTTCTGAGAGAAATCAGAGGTCATTAGGAAGCCTGCCTGTAGCAGTCACACGACCCGATCGTCTCGGTAAAGTAAACAATAGGCCAGCATTTACTGCTGTGTTGCGCCAGGAGCTCAGGAAGAATGAACCAACAAAAGAAACGCTTCCCTTTATACAGACAGACACCTGTAATCAATATGCAGGTGGGTTCCTGATCACCCCAGTCACATGATACAAGGAGCGAGTGCAGCGGAAAGAGAGAGAGAGAAGGTGAAGCGAGCAAGAAAAGAACCAGAGAGAGAGAAATGCACGTGCTGGGCAAGTTACTTTGGAAAAGTAATTAATTATAGTTACTAGTTACTTCTTCAAAAAAGTAACCGAGTTAGTAACTGAGTTACAAGATTCTAAAAGTAATTCATTACTTGAAAAGTAACTATTGCCCAGAGGGTTAAAAAAAAGTTTAACCCTCTGGGGTCCAGAGTATAATTGCCCATTTTAACTACTTTTGATGTTTCCTCCACATTTCACCTTTAAAAACTATTTTCTTTGCCTTGTTTGGTCTCATTCTCATCAGCACAACCTCACGTGTCTGAATTTACAGTTATGTTTTCATTTTGACAAACTGTATTAACACAATTGATCTAAAATCAGACAAAAAACATAAAATCAGAGTAGAAAAAATTATATTTTTTACTGTAACAACCACAAACATGTTTAATGATCATATTTCATAACTTTAAATGCAAATATAAGTTGTCAAGTTTAAAATCATATGCACAAGTTTTGCAAACAACAAAGTTATTTGCAGCCATTTACCTTTTACCCTCTTTTTTAATAACTACAACTATTTACAGAACAATCAGCTGTTCTTCAATAAGATGCCACAAATTATTTGTGCCACTCCAAATATTTCTGTCCACTATAAAGGAAACATCACAGCCTGATACCTGCAGGTCTGACAGCAGCAGGTGTGTCACTGCTGTTTCTACCTGGAGACAGCAGTCGCCTCATTGTTCTGACACACAACACAAAACTATCCACAACACTACACACTAACTACACACTAACTACAGAAGACAACACATTAACTACACACTCCAAACACGCTAAACGTCACAAATCTCTCACATCTCAAAACTCGCTCTCTCTCTCTTCCTAAACATCCAGATGTCATGTTGCCATATCATTTTTGATTGGTGGACATGGTACACTTTTCCACCAACACGAAAAGGGAGTTTTTTGTTTTGTTTATTTTTTGCTCATAAGCAGAGAGGTCTCGCTGCGCTGTCCTTAGACAGTAAAAGTGACGAAACTATTGAGGAAAAAACGCTGCGTATATCTTGTTTATCATGACTCTGGTTTTACGTGGCCTATCAACACAATTTACTGTAAAAACTGGCATATATCACCTTGTTGCTTTGTCATCTTAAAGTGGTCATGTGATTGGGTTACCACGACTACTTTATTCTTTCTCAGTCAAACAGCAGCACTCATTTTGGCCCCTTAGCTCCAGGTGTTGTGCCAAAAAGTGATCACCGTCCGCGGGAGCGCGCAGCTGCTTAAAGCCGTAGCGCCCAGATTACTTACGTAGACAGCTACCGTGCAAATGATATATGATGCGGTAAGCTGAACATTAATTAGATTACTCGTTACGAGTAACGCCGTTAGTAATGCCATTACAAGTAATGCCATTACTTGTAATGCCATTACTTGTAATGGCGTTATTCCCATCACTGGAAATTACTTTGCAACCCTTTTCGTTTTGTAAAACTGTAGCAGCACGTGTAAAGCAGACACTTGCGAGTGCACGGGTGCTTCTTTGTGTGCCCGGCTGCCAAGTTCTAAGCATGCAAAATTTAATTGAATGAATGAATTTGCTCGGATTATTTTTTTGTTAAGACTTAAATATAATCCCATAGCTGCACCTCAGGTCTCAAATCATCTTGTAAACCTTTGCTTTCACTCTTGCTCTATCCTTTAGTCACACATCACCCCTGACATTTGTCTCCACCCACTCCACCCTGCCTGTCATGATCCTGGGCCATGTTGGCCCAGTATTCTTAGTTTTTGTGTGTCTTGTTCTTTATTTATGCCCTGGTTTCTAGATTGCTCTGTTAAGTTGTTCCTTGACTTCCCCTTGTGACTTTTACCTCCTGTGTGCCCCTCTGTGTATCTGTGAGCCCTCGTCTCCCCTCCTTGTGTTTCATTCAATGTTTTCCCCAGCCCGTTATGTCTGTGCCCTCTCTCTCTCCTCCTATCTGAACCTCTGTGTACTTCCTGTTTTACTTTGACAGTCTCCCGTCAGTATGCGTCATGTTGCGTTCACTCCCGCCGTGTCTCGTTACGATTATCTGTGTCAGCTGTGTTCCCCGTGTGCTCCCAGTTCCCTCGTTGACCCTCTGTGTATTTATGTCCGCGTCTCCCTCATCCATGGCCGTGTGTTTCTCCGTATAATATGTTATAGTTTCCAGTTTAGTTCGTATGGTTTTTCTCTCCAGCAATAAAGCTGTGTTTTGAGTTCACTCCTGCCTCCGTGAGCTTGCGTTTGGGTCCTCATCTACCTCCACACAGCCAGTTCATGACACTGCCTGAACTCTTTTCTTTACCTCTCTTGTGCGCTGTTCTTGGCTTTGGATGGTTGGTATATCTGTTCTCCTTGCATGTTGACCCTCAGACCTGTCTCCCTCTCATTCCCTCACACACATCTATTATGTCTTCTTTCCAGTGCATACCTCCACCTCCCCATAATACCATATCACCCCAACAGAGCACTTTGCTATCAAACTGCTGGCTTACGTGTAGTTCCTAAGATAATTAAAAGATTGGATTCGGGATGCAGACACCCTCTGTATACTTTTAAGATTAGATTTAAAACTTTTATTTTTAAAGCATATATTTAGGGCTAGACCAGATGACCCTAAATTCCCCCTTAATTTTATTGCAAAAGGCCTGGGCTGCTGGGGGCTTCCCATAATGCACTTTGTCACTCACCTTTTTTCCCCACCCACTATGTGTGTGGCTGTAGCTCAGGTGGCAGAGCAGGTCAGCCACTAATCAGAAGGTCGGTGGTCCGATCCCAGGCTGCCTCCTGGCTACATGGAGTCAGTAGTATCGCTCAGTAGTGTCCTTTTAGCAAGATGCTAACCCCCCTGGGCCCGGTGGCACCAGTGTCCGGCAGTCTCGCCTCTGTCAGTGCGCCCCAGGGCAGCTGTGGCTACAATGTAGCTGCCATCACCAGTGTGTGGATGCGTGGATGACTGGATGTAGTGTGAAGCGCTTTGGGGTCCTTAGTGACTGAGTAAAGCGCTATACAAATGCAGGCCATATGTGTTTATACACCACCCTGCATTTAATCATTACTTATTATTAACCTCTGGTTCGCTTCCACATTGTGTCTTTTAGCTTACCTTCCTTGTCAAGGCACGTTACAAAATGTTAGAGCAAACACACACACATTCTTGTTTTTTAAATGATTGCATTGCTAGCAACAGCATTTCTTCCAGGATGACAGTTATTCCATGCAGAGGACAGGAAGGCTCACTGAGTGATCTGATTAGGGTAAAAGTGAGAAACACAGACGATACAGATCGTTGTGCCAAAGTGAAAGAGACTTTTGAAACAGCAAAACTGGTCGTTGTTCTCATACTATTTGTATATGCATCAAAAACAGCAAACAAGGGCATGAATTGTGTTTAACTCCCTCTTCATGAAAAAAGGTTAGTTTTTAGTGTTGATACTGTAAATTATAATTTTTTTATCATTTTAAAAATGTACATTTATAGTTGCTCAGTAGTGTCCTTTTATTTATATTTTTCAGCAAACAGAAGATCAAACAGACAGTTGTCCATTCACAGAGTTGGTACCTGAAAGCACACACAACAAGGCCCAACCAAAGAGACTTCATGTCTCCAACATCCCCTTCAGGTTCAGAGACCCAGACCTCAGGCAAATGTTTGGGGTAAGTATGGTGTGATGTAATTATCCTCGAAAATTTGAGCTGCCCAAAGTTTTCAACATTTTTTAAACTCCCAAACGTTGATTCTGTTCATCTGGACGTTTTCAGTGGAAGAAACGTTTCGTCACTCATCCAGGTGACTTCTTCAGTCTCAGCTGACTGCAGGTTTCCCCAATCTTATGTCCACACTAACATACTTTTGTTTGAAAACACTCTTTTTCAATCTTTCTCAATCTTTTTCTCTCTGTTTTGGCTTTCCGTCCACACTGAGACAACGTTTTTGGTCGAGGAAAATGCAGTGTTTTGAAAACACTCTCCAAAGTGGATACATTTGAAAACGCTGTTTTTGTGTCGCAGTGTGAAAACGCTACGTCCAGATGAACAGAATCAATTTTTGGGGATTTATTTACCTGGATGATTGAGCACGCATCAAGACATTTTTTTAAACCATTATCTTTTTGTGAGTAACAAAAAAAACCACATAATCAACCCAGTAATTGGCCAGTTACTGCATTACCACTAAACATCTGCCAGTCAAGCTGAAAAATGTCATAACTGGGTGGATGTTAGGAGGTAATATGTTTGCAAAACAGGAAAGTCAAAAAAGCTGTAAATTTTTTATTTCATAATTTAATTAAAAAAAGGTTAAACACAGACAGAGACACACACACTCAGAATTTCTTTTATATTTTTTCACAGCAATTTGGCAAAATTTTAGACGTGGAAATCATCTTCAACGAACGCGGTTCTAAGGTACATACATTTTTGTTCATCTTTAGGTAATAAGCATCAATAATCTCTGCTTCAAAATAATCCTCTTAGCTTTTTCAGCTTGGAAGAACCTGGATATAAATGGATTGTACTTCCCCAACAATGATAGTAATAGCCATGTCTGGCAAAGTTAGTTTGACATCAAATTAAATCCTTGTGAAAATGTCAAATTAGTCTTGTGAAATCACAGTGAGTGGGAGCCAGTGTGGCCTTTACATGAATAAAATGTGAATTTTCAGAATTTACTGCTGAGTGCTACATATAAGAAAAGACCTTACTTGATTGCCCCACTTTTCTAAAGTCTTGTGGACGAGCTCTCTGGGGATAAAACTGATTCTGCTGATTCTAATTTTATGTACATTTAATAAGACAAGAAACACAAAACGAAACATCGAAAGAATTGCTACTGATTCAATGCAATCGACTATCATGTGCATCTGAATGTTTTTTCATTATTTAAATCACAACTTTATATTCTATATCCATTCGGCACAAAGTGAATTATTTTAAGCCCTTTTAATTTTTAATTTTAATATTTATGGTGTAAGCTTGTAAACATCACAAATCCAGTACATGCAATTATTAGCATATTTGTTAAGACCAATAAAAAACAACGTATTTACAACAGAGAAATATGTAACTGAAATATGTTCACTTATACACTCAATACTTGGTCTTATGAAGATGATCAGTGTTGTTGAAATTCAAGCCTCAGCAGTGGCCTTCAGTTCTTCTTATTTGTCGATTGGATGTCTCTTATCTTGTTCTTGACAATATCCCTGTAGATTCTCAAGCACAGTAACAACATGGTCAAGAAACCATTTGGTAGTAAAAACTCAAGTCCTGCTGGAAAAGGAAATTTATATCTTCATTAAAGTTGTCAGCAGATGTAAGTAAGACAGGTTCTAAAATACCCAAACAAACAAGCACAGTAAAATATCTGCAGTCAGTTATACACAACCTTATTGACCTTAACCTTGGAGTCACAATAGATCAATACTGGTATATCAAAATATCCTCCTTTATTTGCACTGGGTCAGATTATTATACTTCCTTTTAAAGAGGAAGATCAGTGAGATTTAATAGATTCTATGCCATTCTCTGTCTTTTGTGTCTTTTTTCTGGTATTGTATTACTTTTGTATGACTATTGCAATGCAAAAATAAATTTTCCCTCCAGCATTTTGATATGACTTACTCAGCTATTCATTATAAACCAAACCTACATCAATTGAAGCATTGTAGATGACACCATATTCTTCCTCTAATGAACCCAGTTCCAAAATACTGGGACAGTGAGTAAAATGTAAATAAAAACAGAATGCAATGTTTTTCAAATGTCATTGAATCATGTTTTATTTACAATAGAACATAGAAAACATGTAAATATTTTCAAACTAACAAAAAAGAGAATCTCGACAAATATCTCATTGTTTCCTGGCTGCCTGTGATCTTTGAGTCCTCAGGCAGCGCTGCATGATTATGTCATGGAAATCACTGCATGGGCTCAGGAACACTTCCAGAAATCACTGTGCGTAAACACAATTTATTGTGCAAGTAAAAACTGTCATGCAAAGAAGAAGCCAGTAAGTGAGCGTGATCCAGAAAGGCTGCTGTCATCTCTGCACGGTTTAAAATCAACTGAGGCAAAGTGTTCGGTGGGCAGACAAATCTAAATGAAGAGAGGAAGCTGCACAGTGGTCAGACTTTGACATATGTTGATGCCATTGAATTCAAATTAAAAGTCAGACAATACTTTTATTTAAAATGTTTTCTCAGTTTAAACGTTTGACATGTTTGCTGTGTTCTGTTATGAATAAATATTACACAACGTCATTTTTGGAGTTTGGTTTGTAGAAATAGGATATTGCATCATTGACAGTGCTCCTATTGACTGAAGCTGTTCTTTATTATGTTATATTTACCAAATAATATGCATGTTGTTCTTGTTTCTTTCCGTTCTGCACACAGGGTTTTGGTTTTGTAACATTCGAGCATTGCGTGGATGCAGACAGGGCAAAAGAGAAATTACACGGCACCGTGGTAGAAGGTCGTAAAATAGAGGTGCATCTTCTCAAGTATTTCTTTCTTCTGGATTTCTTCCTTCTCACTGTCACCCTTTTTGTGTTTGTCTCGATATACCTGTTGGTCTATTTATCTGGGTGTGTTTGTGTCTAAGCATTCAGCAATCTATCCCACTTATCTCTTTGCCATATTTCTAAAGATACAAACTAGTTAGGTCATCCAAGCCTTATCATTCCCTTTAATTTAACCTACATACATACATACATACTACGTACATGAGTATTTAGAAATGGCCTAACAGTCTGCAGTCTATGAACTAACCTCAGCTAACGCCAGCTAACAATGTTAGCTCGGTGGTGAGTAGCAGAATCAGAATCAGAATCAGAATACTTTATTGATCCCTGGGGGAAATAATTTTTTTGTCACAGTGCTCCATTATAAACCAACATTAACAAGACAGACAATATGCTAACTAAGAATAGTACAATATATACATATACACACACACACATATATATATATATATATATATATATATATTGTACTATTACTATACTATACTATAGGCATCTCCGAAAACATTAGAGCACTTTTGCAAATATGTGATGTCTTGATGAATCAAGCAGGTATTTGAAGTTTACACAGAAACATTCTCGCATAAAAATATCTTTAAAGTTTATTTTATGACCCAGACAGAGTAACATTTCAAACTCTGCCACTCTGTGTTCCTCCGCCATTGCCTTGTTTGAGTTTTGGACGAAATGCATTCTGGGATATTGCATTTTGTCATTGCAAGCTGATTGGAGACCAAAACAGCCAATCAGATTTTTTTGCATCCAATTCTGTGATTGGCTGGTTTTGTGGCACAAATATAACGGTGTACAGAAAGAGTTGAGCGCGCACGGGTAGAAATGTTGAGAGTGCGAGCAACACATTGCGAAGAAGCGCAAATGAAAAATCTGAGCGAGAGGGGCTGCTGTTGTGTGTGTGTGTGGATAATAGCAAACACTGAAATACATATTTTGCACGCAGCAATGAATTTTGTTCACTTAAATTTAGCTTTTCTTTGCTCAAAATAAATTTCTCCTCAAAATGCAACACCTGCACCTGCAAACTTTTTTTTACATGCGCTCAATTTTTTTTTACGTGCGCTCAGAATAGTGGCACAAAAATAACGCCATAATTATATAAAGGTATAACACCTAATGAAGCTCTGTCTCTTTACCTGCTGTAGGTCAACAATGCAACAGCCCGTGTAATGACAACTAAGAAGACTGTCAGCCCATATGCAAACGGTAAGGCTTATGGAACTTTTAATTGGTTTACAAAATTAATCGATTGCAATGGGGATTTAATGTGGCTTTTTGGATAATGTTGTGATGAAAATGTCCCTTTGATGTCAAATATTTCTTACCCTAAAGACAACTGAAACATAGTCACACACAAAGGAGCTCCTAGTATTTATTTTCAGTATGGGGTTTGGGGAGGGGTAAAGCATTTGAGCATGAATAATTGCAAGGTAAAACAACTAATAAACAAATATGTATTTGTGAAGCTGGACCCTTTACACATGTACAAGACACGGACGTGGTGACAGCACTTCTTTATTCTGACATTCGGTTTACTGTGGTTTTACAATGGGGCACAGACACTCCCGCTCCTCTGTCACGTCCACTCTCCTTCCTCTCCGACTGTCACTGTCAACATATAAAGAGTCATAATCACATTCACATCCCAGCACACCTGTTCACCCCGCCCCTGCACCGCCCCGGGAGCTCGCTCCATCACCCCTTCTCTGCAGCCGGCCAGAGACCACACCCACGCCACACATCCCCACCGCCAGACTGAGGCCGGGGCTCCGAACAAGCCGAACAGAAGCGTAACGAATTGGTACAACCTGTACGGAGTGGAGAAGGCCGTTTTTTTCCTTGGACTCTGCAGACAAGGGAATCTGCCAGTAGTGCTTGGTTAAATCCAGTGTGGTGAAAAAGCGAGCGGTGCCCAACCGGTCAAGGAGTTCGTCGACCCGGGGCATGGGATAAGCATCAAAACGTGACACCGAACCGTACAGACCCATCCTTCTTCACCACAAGAACAATGGGGCTAAACCAAGTGCTGTGCAACTCTTCTATTACCCCCAACCTCAGCATTTCCTTCAATTCCCAGTGAACAATTTGTCTTTTATGTTCCAGCAGCCTGGACGGCCGTGAACGCACCGTCACGCCAGGCTGCATCTCAAAATGGTGCTCTATGAGAGAAGTACGGCTGGGTAGGGGGGAGAGGTGGAGACAGAAAGTGAAACTAAGCAGAGTGTTTGATCAAAACTTATGTGCGTGACGTCTAGAGGAAGTATATATATATCAGGCTGGCTGCTGCTGCTTCAGACCTGAGCTGGTGTCTCTGTCTGCTCAGTCTCCATTCCCAGGAATGCAAAATAAAGATCATTTTTTGAGTTTGACCACTTTGAGCCGTGAGTTTTTCTTTGCCGTTAAAAGAATACAAAGAACTGAGTTTAATACTGGGTACGAATTTCGTTAGTGCGAGTGTTGCGGCTCACTCGGTACAGCCTATCGTTTCTCAATTGAAAGTGTGAGTAAGTCAGCGCGGCCGCAGGGTGCTCCCACTGACCATCAATTTCCATCACTTGGTCATAGGCTGAGCGTAGGGTGTCGTCCCGAGACTGCTCGAGATGGAAATCTCACTTGGGGCACGCTACCGGAGGCGGAGGGTCTTCTGTGGAGGACCCCGCATACTGCCCCAATAAACTATGGAACCCCAGCCGCTCTGTGCCCAAAATCAGGGGATGCGACTGGCGCGGGCTAACCGCTGCCTTCACTCTATGCTTTTTGCCCTTAAATTTTAACACCAGTGACACCACGGGATATCGGTGAATGTCCCCGTGCACACATTTAACCTCCACCCAATCGGCCTCCAACAATGCCCCGGGGCGAAACAAACTTTGGTGGATCTGCGTGCAGCCTGTGTCCACCAAAGCATGGCCTATACCCCCTTGGCACATTACCGGTACGCGGTACGTCCCTCCCGGACCGGGGGCAGGCGCTGGAGCGCCAGTAACACGGAACACCTGCCCCACCTCCATGAGCGGACACTCCCGGCGCAGGTGCCCCGCCCGCCCACACTTCCAGCAGTCCGGCCTCCGGTCTGTGCGGCTCCCGGTGGCTCTGGGGCAACACCGGCTGCTGCTGGGGATCCGGCTGAAAGCAGAGGCCGGAACGGGTTCCTGGGGCTCCACCCCGCTGCAGGCTCCGTCCCAATAGGGCCGCCATCCCTCCTCTGTTTCTCCACCACCGGCGGCCTGGGCATCGGAACATGGCCGCACCGTGGCTCCTCTCGGGTGGGTCCCGGGTTGGCCACCCGATAGTCCTCCGCCAGCATAACCGCTGCTGTCAGATCCGCCGGGCGGTGGCAGCGGACTCAACGAGCCGTCACCTCCGGCAGGCCCCCCACGAATTGCTAGAGGACGACCAGATTGAGCAGCTGAGCCTCCCCTGCCGAGGGGCCTGGCTGCAGCCACCTCGCTGCCGCATCCTCCAGCTGTCGAACCCACGCAAACGGCCGTTCACCTCCTGTCATCCTGCTGGCTTGGAATTGACGGCGGTAGTCCTCCAGGGAGAGGCCCAAGCGGTTCAGTACCGCCCAACACATGTCCTCAGCGCCGCCGTCGGAGCCTTGCCCGATAGAAGTGGCAGCAGCCGAGCGGTCCATACTTCCTCCGGCCAGTGGCAGGCCAACGCCGTGGCCTGGAAAGTCTCAATAAACACCAGCGGGTCCTCCCCCTCCCTTATCCGGTGCAATGTCACTGACAGCGGAGGGGGGGGGGGGGGGGGGGGGGGGGGCGTATTCCCAAACAGCTGCTCCGTTTGCTGGCGCAGCAACGCCAACTGCTGGTCCTGCATCGCAGGAGTCGCGGGAGTCGCGGGAGTCGCAGGAGTCGCCGTCGTCGCCATCGCCGCCGTCTCCATCATAATCTGGCCCAGTATCTGCAGCGGTTGGGCGTGTGGCTGGGCAGGTGGATCGAGCTGGGGATGGGACATCGCGCCAGGGTTTCGGTACCAGTGTGAAGTTGGACCCTTTACACATGTACAAGACACGGACGTGGTGACAGCACTTCTTTATTCTGACATTCGGTTTACTGTGGTTTTACAATGGGACACAGACACTCCCACTCCGCTGTCATGTCCGCACCCACGCCACAGCATTAAAAGTGTTTGATGTCCTTCAGCCTGACGTACTGTGGTTTGTCGGTGAGGTAGTTTGAGATCCAAGCGACCAGGCAGGGGTCCACCTGCATCCTGTTGACTTTCTCCTGGAGCAGACAGGGCTGGATTGTATTGAAGGCACTGGAAAAGTCAAGAAACAGGATCCTGACCGTGCCTTTTGCCTTGTCCAGGTGTGAGTGGGCTCTGTGTAGGAGGTACAGGATGGCATCCTCCACTCCAACATCTGCCTTGTAGGTGAACTGTAGTGGGTCCTGGGCATGTTGTACCTGTGGTCGGAGGAGGTTGAGGAAGAGCCGCTCTAGAGTCTTCATAAGATGTGACGTCAGTGCCACCGGTCGGAAGTCATTCAGCTCATTCATCCTAGGACACACCTTGTCTGGGCCTGCTGCCTTCCTGGGGCGAAGCTTCCTCAGTTGTCTCCTGACCTGATCCACTGTGACACTGGGAGTGGATTGGAAGAGGGGGAGGGAGGCTGAGAACAAAGAAGCTACTTGTGGCAAGGACCCGACACACACAGGGTTTGACACACTTTAAACTGAGTTTATTTTGCTTGTTCAGCAGCTTTTGGGTTACGACACAGACTCAGAGAGCAGCTCCATTCGCACTCACACTCGCTCCCCACATGTATCCGCCGTCACTATAAATAGGGGAAGAGAAAGAGTCATCAGTCACAGCACGTACACCTGTCTCCTCTGGCACCTCGAGGCCCTAATTTAATTTATTAATGTTAGTTCTTTTTCTAACTTGTAGTTCTAAATTGGAAGGTTATTGTGATTTTGAAATATAAAAATTAAATTATATTCTATTATTTTTTCATCGCTCAAAATAAGCGTCACACTCGCGGAAGCCAGTGTACCCGCCGAAACACCGTACATTTATCGAGACTTTCAACCCCAGGTAGGCCAATTATGGATCTTCGGATCCACATTATGTCAGCAGCTGTTCTCCTCCATGAACTATGGTAACAACAAACACCGCTCACGCCTCACAGATGACAGCTTACAGTCCTGCGTAAATATGAAAGCCCCGAT